AGACATGAGCTGAGGGCCGGACTCCGGCCCCACCCCTGAGAGCTGATCTGCATTTCCCACTCTTGTTAGCGACTGGGAAGCCCAGGTAAGAGGTGAGTGGCTCTTTGCAGAGGTCTGCTTGAATGCACTTCTTCACTTCAACGGAGATGTTGTTGATGCCTGCAAGAAACCACACAGGTGAGGCCCCACCCTTCCACTGCCCTCCTCCCTCTTTCGCCCACACACACTGGTCTGCAGCAGTAGCTAAGTCAGCTAAGACAGCCCCTGAAAGGCAGGGGTCTCCTCCAGATCCTGAAGTTCCCCCACAACCTGCGTCAATGAAGCACAGAAATACCATCTAAACTTGACTGGAGAGAGCTTTCCCCAGCTCACAACCACTCAGGTCCAGCCTGCCACTTACAGTCACTCTGTGCCATGGGACAACGAAGTCTGAAGGCTCCGTTGGGGGCATCCTGCACATTGCTGGTTCAGGGAGCTGTGCACCTGGGTCGGTGATTTTAAAGGCATAGACCTAATCTCTTATTTGGGTCTGAGTCATCTATTAGTAAGCAGCAATGGCCATAAAAAGCTACGTCTGTGATTTCTCTACCTCTCAAAGGCCTTCAGATGCCTTTTTCCACATAGCAGACACACTGTGTTCTTGATTTTATCTCAGCAATAGCAAAAAGCCATGGCTATCCTAAAGCAAAGAATCCCTCTGTTTAAGTAAAAACATAAGAATGCAAGGGACCAGCTGCCTTGGCGGGCTGCTGTAATACCTCAGTGGGGGACTTCAGGAGCACTGAGCACTGGCTCAGAGTCCAAAGGTAGAAAGGGACGGCAGGAAGGGCTGTGGGCCACCCCACCCCACCCTCAGGACTTGAGCCAGCTGCTCTTCTTGCTGGACCACACTACCATTCCTAACGCACTTCTAGTTACACCTTCAGCTCATTTAGGGTCACCCTTTGGATTTTCTTACGGACAACTCAGTGTATTTGGCACAGTGTGAGTCCTTTGAAGAAAGTTTAAGATTAGTCACTGCCTCTCTCCAAATCTCTTAAAGACCCAGAATGCATGGGGAAAAAACTCCCAAATTTCCCTGTGTTTACTAAAGTAACCAAAGTGTGCAAAATTAGAAAGGTTCATCCACTATGCAGAGTCAATACCCAAAACAAACAGGGAGTCTGTCAGTGCTTGGGCAAATTCGCAGCTGAACAAATGAGAGAGAGAAAGTCCACTGGGTGTGGTCTCAGAGTCAAGACACTGCTGCATTTTCATTCCTAAGAGGTCTGAGCAAAAACGCCTCAGCCTGTTCCCCTGAAACACGTGCAGTGAAGCCTGTGACAGAGCACAGCTCATTCTGTGCCTACAGCACACCTGCACCCCAGGAGAGTACCTGTTTTTACAATGCCGGAGAACTCAAAACACATTAGCATATTTGGTGCACACCATTTGAGTTGGCTATTACAGTATCTTCCCCTCACAGCAAAGCATGTTGGGCACTGGAGGCCACTGGAGCCGAATTCTTCAACATCCTTCTCCTGTAAGTCACTCAGGCTGATCTCCCAGGGGACTGTTAAAAAGCAGAGACATAAAGCTAGCTGGGTATGAGCAGGAGGATGTGCTCATGCACCCACAACGAACTCCAGGACTACATTCATGCCACTGTCCCCCGCTCCCCACCAGCACTCCTCAGGAACCATCACCTCACCCACTCAACTCAGTACTGGAGGTACCACCGAAATCTCCGCCCTTCCAGGGCTGTGTTCTGATGGCAGAGAGAATAAAAACAAAAGATAAGAAAAAGTCTTGGAAAGTCAGATGGTGATAAATATTACAGAGAAACAACAGGACAGGAAGTGTCAATTCACAGGGCTGCCTTCCAGCCTCCATCCACATGTTCCCACTACCACCTGCTGTCAAGGGCAAAGCCAGTGACAGATGTCCTGGCAGAGCACAATGAGAGGAAGCACAAACAGAGAAATGGAAACTCATGGAAAGGTACAGGCAAAGAGAAAAAGGAAGTGAAAGCCGTGCTATTTATCTATGGAACTTGTATCAGGCTACCTAAAGGAAGTTCCAACTTGCTTATCTTCTTCCGACACAGGAGCTTTCCTGCCTCTCCTCATTCTGTGATGCCCATGAATCCAGAGTGTGTGAGACCCCACAGGGCACGCCCACCAGAGCCTATCCACCCTGCCTAGGCACCAAGCACCCTCTGCTCCCTGCTCAGCTAGACTGAGGGCTAAGCTAGCAGCTCTCAGAAGTAGTGGGAACAGATGGCTTGGACTTCAGCACTCATGTGCGCAATAGTCACAATGCTTCTTACAGTGAAGGGGAAGGTGAGTGCACAGGCGACATAGCTTGGGACTAGACAGAGCTCTCTCAGCACTGCCATACCCTGGAATAGAACTCTGGCAAATATTCTAGGACTGGAGTTTTTTCTGACGGTATATATGTCCAAGGAAGAGGATGTGACTGTTTAACCTTTTGTAGCTCAAATTTTAACCTTTGAAATGTTGTGCGCTGTGGGTTCTACAAATACGAGGGCAGCTGGCACTCCACCCTGGACAGGAGAAAAAGCTGGGGGTGCTGGGAGCCATGCACTGCCAAGAAGTGGGGGAGAAGCAGAGACCAGCACTGCCCAAATGGCTCTCCAGGCCCTATGACCCCCAGAGACCAGGGCTAATCTGGCCTGTTTGCTCTAGAGTCTTGTTGGATAGAGTCCAATCAAAAGTAATTAAAAAGTCACACAGCCAAAAAGTAATTTCTAAAATCAGAGAAGAGTTAACATTTCAAAAGTAACTACAAAGAAAACAAAACAAACGTTAAAAAATGCCAATCATTAACACCAGAGACTTTCAAATTCATGATTTCACAGCAATATGTGCCTCTAGGGACAGGATGTATCTCCTCTTGTATTGTGAACTCTTTCCCACACTACTCTGTTCTTAAGGCACTCTGTCCAGTGTGTCCACTTATATGTAGATGGATTAAAATTAAATGTTATTAATAAAGTTTATCACAAATGTCATCTCAAATGCTCATCAGTCAAACATAGTTGGTGGACTCTGCACATTTCAATCGCTGTGGAATACAATAATGAATGAAAATTAAAACCATAGTGTGACAGCAGGTATTATGATCTATTTATAGAGGATACAAAAGGACCACTCTTCGAGGTGGGAGGATCAATTCAAGACCAACCTGGGTAATACTATGAGATCCCATTTCAAAAACCAAAACAAACAAAACATTAGTAACACTTCTTTTTGAGGACAATTTGACAATACAGAATCAAAATTTGGATTGTACAAATGCTTCAATCTAGCAGTTAATGGGTATTTTCTAACATGTATAATTGTATTTAAGGTATTCTCTGTGACAAAAAGTGGTTAGATGGTCTCTGACCCATGTATGAAACAGAGAATACAGCCACCCACAGAGGTGCCTTCCTGTGCACTAACATGGAAACCTCTACAAGATCCACTTCTAACAGCTGAGGAACAAGATACAGACCACTGGGCATAACATTCTGCCACTGGAACAAAAAATACTCTGGGATATGTTTTAAAACACAGTATCGTCAGAAAAGTACAAAAGAAAGAGATAAGTATGGTGGGGAAGTTAAAGAGGACCTTTTTCTCATGGACATAGATTTCTTATTTTATTGTTTTATTTTTATTTTTAATTTATTTTTACTTATTTCTTTCTTTCTTTTCAGTACCATGGATTAAACTCACAATCTTGCTCTTGACAGGTAGGCACTTGTACCGCTAAGCTAAATCCCTGGAAAATTTCTTATTATAAAGGCTTACAATTATAACAGCAAATGAGATTTTCTCATAAAAGAAAATGGGAAGAGATAGGAAAAGAAAAGTTCTAAGTTTTTTGCTCTTGATTTAAAAGGCCTACTACAGAAAATGTTCAAATGACAACATGTCCTGAGCAGCAGAGCAGAGACTTTCAAGGAAGCAAATGGCTACCTGATTAGGCCAGCTGCAAGTTCCAGGAAAACTCCCAGCACTTTATCTAAAACTTTTCCTAAAAATAAAGGCTGCACGTGATTTCTTGTTTTTCTTAGCAGGAGAAATTTTTAACAGCCCGAATTTTATGTAAAATTACATTGCTCTTTCTTATCAAAAATACTACATCGGCTCAGATTCTAAGTGGTAACTTGTTACTGTGATAGTTGGCCCATTAGTATGGGCATGTTGAAAGAGGAAGTGGGCAGCAAATTTAGTTTATTCTCAGCAGGACCTCCCTCCTCCCCTCAAAAACAAGATGAGAAGAGGTCAGGTGCGAAGGAAAAATGACAGGCGCGAGGCAGCAGGTGTCAAACCCCTGGCTGCTGAGTGAGAGCCCAAACCGGGCGATGGGGGAGGTGGGAGGAAGGCTCTGTGGACAGGGGTGAGAACCGAGGTTAAAATGATTACGTGGCACTAGGCGAATGACCCTGCCCATGCTGAATCTGGTGACAAACCTCGGTTAGGGTTAGGGTTAGGGTAAAGGGTTAGGGTTAGGAGTTGTTCACACCGTGATCTTCGGGGAAATCAAGAACCACTGGAGAAAAGGCCTGTAATCCACGGGGCCATGGTGAGCATTTTATCTCCTCCTTTCCTTCCTCTATACCAGGAGAAGGGTACAGCTATTTTAATAAGCGCTCATCCCAGACCAGTGCCTGGCACACTCCCAGAACTCACAGCGGCGGAAACAGGGATCCTCCTCCTGTGCACGCTACAGACGCACCAGAGCCCAGCAGGCTGCCCGAGCTCAGCACCAGGGCAAGCCGGCAACACCAGGCCCCGCTCCAGCACCGGCAGCACCCCCGTGTGGCTACTCGTGACTTCCGGTGCCAGGCAGGGCTTGCAGGCAAGGGGAGAATGACACTGCGGGGCACTTAAAGGAAAAGCAGACAGGCCACAGCGGGGACACGGCTCACCCGAGATGCAGAGCAGGAAGGCGAGGCTCCAGGCCAGGAGGAGGCTGCCACGGGGTGCGAGGTGCACGTGCATGGCTTTGGCTGCTGGGGGGGGGGAAGCAAGACAGTGAGCCCACGTCCCCTGCACACCTTCTGCCGCTCCCCACAGGGCGGAAGGCTCACACCAACCTCAAGCGCAGCAAGTTCGTACAGGCCCCCAAACTCTGTCCCACAGGGCTGGGGTGTGAACCTTGTGCTCAGACCATGTGGGCGACTCCTGGCAGCCAGAGGACACTGCGCAAGCGCCCAGGTCAGGCCTGTGCTCATTGGCTCACAGCTGTCACTCTTCCCACCTTCTGGGAGCCTTGACCAATGAGGTGAGTTGCCTTGTCACCACATGACTACAGGAAGCATGGGAGGCCATTTCCCAGTTCTGAGGATGAGCCAACTTAGAGTTCTAGTTAAAGGGCTCTTACATGAGGGACATTTCTCTACATGTTCCAAGCACCTCTGAAGACAGAGGATCCAGATGCTACATTCTCTGATCAACAATTCCCTCTCCTCCACTCAAGGTCCAAATGGTGAGTTCACCCAGGGCAGTTCTTTTATCTCACTGTATGTTCTATCTCACACACACACACACACACACACACACACACACACACGCCTCCTTGATACTGTTTCAAGCGGGCAGAGGCTTCCTGTAAGCCCCCGGCCCCAGTCCCTAGCACTGTGCTCCAACAAAAATGTAGTATTACATTTTTGAATGGAGCAGCCTTTCCAACTGTGAGCCAAGGGTAAGAATGTTTCCTTTTCTCCCTGTTTGAACGCCTTGCTTTTTCAGTAGCTGCAAAGAATTTTCTCTCTCCCTCGGCCACCGTCAACCTAAATATCTCTCTATAGATGAATGGGGTAAAGAAAATGTTGTATGCACATACAGTGCAATATTATTTGGTTTTGAGCCAAGGATTTATCTCAGCGGCATAAGCGCCTGTCCTTCAAGGTCATGGTTGTCAGTTTAATCCCGGTACCATTTGGTCTTATAAAAGGCAACTAAAAAGCAGCGTATGTTGCCAACATGAGCAAACCCTGAAGACATGCTAAATGAAATGAGCAAGTTACAGTGAACGTGATTCTCTGTAAGAAGTATCTAAACTATTTTTTAAAAGTGCAGTAGGAACTACCAAGGGCTGGGAAAGGAGGGGGAAAGGGAAATTGTTGAATGAGTACAGTTTGTTTTTCAAAAGGAAAAAGTTCTGGAGTTCTGTTTCAAAACAGAGTATGTAGTTAACACCACTGCATTGTACACTTAAAAATGACTAAAATGGTATGGAGTTGTGTGTGTGTGTGTGTGTGTGTGTGTGTGTGTGTGTGTGTGTGTTTAAACAACACAACTGTTATGGCTTGTGTCTAGATGTCCTCCCAAACCTTCATATGGACATAGATGGGACTTTTCAAAGGTAGCTGGATCTAGGGTGGGTGATGGCGTGTGGTGCTGAGGTTAAGTATGTAACACTGCGGTTAAAGTTGTGTGATTTGACATAGTTCTGGGTGTGAATAATGGGAAAGCCCACCCTGGGTGTGGGTGGCACCACCCAAAGGGCAGGTAGCTTGAAAGGGATAAAAGGGAGCATCAGGCTGCTGCTGTTGCTGCTGCTTTGCTGTGTTGCCTTCTGCCCTGCTGTGCACCATGAACTGTTTCTCCTCTGGGATGCTCATCTGCCATACCACACTGCCGTGGGGCCAGCCTAGTACAGAATAAAATCTCTACAAACTATGATTAACAATGGTGAACTTCCCTCCTTTAACATTGGGTATAAGGTATTTTGTCTCAACAATAAGAAAGGTAACTAAGACAACAGTAACAAAACTACTGTGGGCCAGGGGTGTAACTCAGTGCCACAGAGCCTGCTTGGCAAGCACAAGATCCCAAGTTCGATTCCCAGTACAAAAAACCCCCCTGCTACACCACAGCCTTTATTCTTTGTGTAGGTTTACCAGTCACTCACTTGGTCACTTTTGGGTATTCATCAAATGTTTTGATCTTTGGTTCAAAACTTCTACATACTGTGAAAAACTTTTGCAATGATAAAAATGTTTCACATCAGTGCTACATTACTGCAATGTCTTGCATGTAAATCTGTGTACATGGCCTGATCCCCAGAACCTGTAAATATTGTATTATATGGCAAAATATGTAATTAAATTAAAGAGCTTGAGGGAAAAATTGATTCTGGATTACCTAGGTGGTCCACAAATACAATCATATGACCACTTATAAGAGAGAACAAGAGGGAGTATTGAAACAAGGAATAAGCACAGAGAAGAGCAGACCACGTCACCATGGAGACGGAGATTGGTGTGATGACCACAATAAGCAAGCCAAGGAAAGGTAATCAGAGTCAAATCCTAAAGGGCCTCTGGGCCACGAAAATGTTTAGATTTTTTTATGGATAATGGAAGGACTGCAGGTTATTGAACAGGTAAATTATATTATTTTGTTTGAATTTTTAAAAGATTACATAGAGATAAACTTTATATTGGACCTTCGATTTTTTTATTTATAAACAAGACCAAAATCTTAAAGTTTATATTGTTTCCACCACTGACATATCTCTGGTAAATAAGAGTAGCAGTGAATACAATAATAAGCATATCTGGAAGAGAGGCGAATGACAGGCGCGAGTTAAGAGCTGCCAGCAGGTAGAACTCACAAGATGGCTCCTGCTGTGGAGCCACCAGGAGGTCCAGCTCTGCAGCTGGTGTACAGGGAAATCAAGCTGCAGGCTCTTGCTATGGGGTCAGAGCAGGTGAGGGAGCTGCAGGTGGATCTGGCAGGAGCTCTGCAGTTGCAACTTCTGCATGAGCTGAGACTGGCCCTGTAGTTGCCTTGGACTCAGGCGTGGTGGCCTCGGGAGGCTCCAGCTGGTCTAGGAGAATCTCACCCTCGTGATCCCCATGGGTATAAAGTTGCAATGCGGAGTCAAGCACAGAAGAAGTGGACCGTCTCAGCATCGGGGCTTGTTGGGTGGAGATATTGGTCTTGGAGGAGTCCAGAGAGGAGGGTCCAGTCTTGGGACTGCTGTCTAGGAAAGCTGACTCCAGAGGCTTCTTCAGGCTGTGAGACCCATCCGCCTGCACTGTTCTTGCTGTATTGACCTCTGCTAGGTTCTCTCCAGGCTGACTTCGGATCTCTGGGCGCCTGAGGAATGGAGACAGTGACCCTGTCCTTTGCTGCCCTTGTAGGTTGGACATTTGCCAGCAATCATCCTGAAGCCTCTGGGACAAGTAAACCATTTTTTCAGTCATTCTCACGTGGTTCCTATGCAGGGTCCTGAGGCTGGGGCTTCGAGTCCTGCGAAAGCAGCTCAGCATCTTCCCTGTTCACTCTCTTGAGCCAGCTGTCTGTGAAGGCCAACTGTAACCAGACCAAGGTGTCTGGTGACCTGAGCCTTCAGAGTTCTGTTTGGACCTGTCACCAAGGAAGTGAGGTCGTGTGCTGGGATCCACAGTTGGGCCATCCTCTGTGATGCACCCTCTCTTTTTATTGTGGAACAAATCTGTGTCCTCCTTAGAAATAGCAAGTTAAAACCCTAGAAAACTCTGTGTGGTTTTTGACTTTGCTGCATTTTGAAGGTTTTTAATGCAACAAACATGTAGATGCTTCAGATGTGGCAGGCAGGGTGCCAAGCACACATTTCCATTGAAAGGGTCCATTGTCTCTGAGGATGAAGGACTCAGTGTCTTCTGTTAGAGATCTGTCCAATTTTAGGATGACTTTCTTTGCTGGGCTTATGTTAGTTTCATTTCAGTTCCATTAGGGATCATGGAGATGTTCCCAGAATGCCTGTAATAATTTTCCTAAAGAATGTGAACATTTCAAGTTATAACCCCCATATGTCCAGGGGAGGAGGGTACATAACAAGTTTTACTCTCACGTGCCTATGAATGATTACTTATTCATCCTTAGATGTTTACCTCAGCCACACACTGTAGTGCTCCGCAGTCTGACCTCCTGTGAGGGGGGCAGCAGGTGGTGAGTATATGAGAAGGATTTGCAAACCCGTGGACATCATCACCCTGTGCTGATGAGGGACACATGTGCACCACTCCTGGGGAACTTGTCTCCTCGCCCCTGCCATCACTTCCCGTCCTCCCTTCCCAAACAGACTAATGGGCTTTGTGTCCCTGCTGGGCAGTTTGCCTTTCCTAGAGGTGATGGCGCTGAGCCTGTTCAGTTGCGATGCTCTTTGGTTGGTCGCCTTCAAGCAGCGTCTCCATGCTGGGATCCCCTGTGCTGCCGCCACCTGCTATTATGGGGCTGAACCAAGCAAGTTCTACTTTTCATGCACCTGTCACCCATCTTTTGATGGCCATTTGTTATGTTTCTGCATTGGGCCTGGAAAGCAAGCTGCCACACCCATTCTTATACAAGTGCTTGAGCTGATACACACTTTTATTTCAAAGAAAATGTACTTAAATATGAAATTACTGGATTGCATTGCTGGTGTATGGATAACTTAGAAATTCTTAATGTATCTTTGGAAGTAGATGTTTAAATCAGAGTTATGTGGGTTTTTTTATTTTTTGTGTTATTATGCTATACTATGCCATGTTATGTTATGATTCATTATGTTATATGTCGATGAGGATTTTGAAACTCTTTCAGTGTGTTTTTAGTGCTTTCTGATTTCATTTTGTATAACCAACCTGATGAACTATGAGAATATCACATAACTCTGAGTAATTTTGTTTTGGAGAAAATTTAAAAAGGAAAACCCAGTCAGGGATGTTGGTGCACACCTGTTATTCCAGTACTCAGAAGGCTGAAGCAGGAGGATTGTTGTGAGTTTGAGGTCATCCTGGGCTACAGTGTAAGAAAGATCAAGGCCAGGCTGACATGTGTAGCAAAACCCTGTCAAAAGAAAGAAATAAAGCAAGGAAGAAAGAAAGAAAGAAGGAAAGAAAAAATAAATAAGATAAAAACGAAAAGTCAAAAATCAACTTAGAAATCAAGTCTTTGTGTGCTTTTCTTACATATGTACTTTAGTCAGCACACCTAGCATGAGGTTTTCCATCATGTAGACATTGATGTGCTGCCTGGTGTTTGCATATTTCAAATTTTTAAAACTTTTTACTGAGATGACTCCAGATATGCTACTCAATATACCCTCTTAGGATTTGCATAGCTCAATATGAAGAGAATTTGATCATTCTGTTATATTTTTGGTCTTAAATTAATATTTAGAACCAGAATTTGTTCAAGGGGTTTCTATTTTTTGAAATAATAAGAAGAACCATATAAAGAACCATATAACTCTTTTTAAGTCTACAAAAATGGAAAAGTAATTACAGACTAACAGTGGTTAATGCACCTTGCACAGTGACTTCTGGGATTTCTTAATGATCGATGTTTTTGTACATTTGTAAAATTTTTTGTTTTTTTCTTTATAAATTTTAACACATGGTCTCACTAATTTTCTAAATTTCCCAGGCTGGGCTTAAACCTTTCCTCATGGTTCCTCACACTCCCAGAGTGCTGGGATTACAGGTGTACATTATCCTGAGTTGGCAATTGGTTGCAATGTTGTGTATTCTTGGAATAAAATGTTTGGCTTTGCTCTTTAGATACTTTGTAGAAAGATTGGATCTATTTAAGCTATCTACCACCTTCATCACCTGCAGTTTCTTTCACAGTGAGTATGACTGAAAATCCCATTAACACTGATAGCAGATTCTCTGCTTTTTAACTGTGATTAGCTCTTGAGAAGATTACTCTGAATGCCTTCTGCACTGGGACTGAGGCTTGGTGTCCTTTAAGCACATTCTCTTTTTCTCTGATCCCTCAAGGAGTTTGATGATTGTTGGAAGTCAAATTCTAAAAAAATGTGTGAAGGTTAAAGCTACTTGGGGGCACGCTGCCCTCCAGAAGGCCAGGCCAGTGGAAAATGTTATTTCCCTCCTAGTCTATATGGACCTTTGATTTTTCAAAAAGGTCAGTATACATATGTGCATATGGATATAGAATATAACACTCAGCCATTGTACTTGGCTGTGTTTGCAGGAAAGGTTATAAGATCTACGAGGATATACAAGATATGCCCGTAATTACTGTATATCCTATGTATCTTGTAGGGATTTCATACAACAGGCCTTGTGAAGGTGGTTTGTGAGGGAGTTTGAACATTCCCACCCCTGGCATGTGGTGGATATGGATTGAATGGCATTCACCCAGAAGAGAGCAAAAGGACTGAGACAAAGGAACAAGAAGGCAATGGTGGAGGCACTTAAATGGCCCATCTGGCCGAGGATCTGGCAACCCCTGAGGAGGGTCATAAATGCCAGGCTACAGCGCCCTCTGGAGGCCATAGGAGACTGTCTGTGATTTTGAGCAAGAAAAAGCTGGTGAACCAGGAATTAGCTTAATGTGGTCCTCTGATTAGTCTAGTGATGGGGTCACCATCCAGACATCGTGGGACCTTTGTTAGGTGTTGGAGATGGGGCCTAAGGGTGCTGGGGTCGGTTGTGAGAATTAAACATAGCATAAAGTATTGCAAAGTGTTTTTTTTAATTGTGATAAAATACATATAAAATTCCTTTTTTCAGTGTGCACACCCAAGTGGCCATTAGGAAAATCACCATGTTGTGCAACCATCTCTGTAGATGTCTCTATTTCTTCTTCTGTTTGCTCTTTATGCAGACATTCCCATGCCAGGTGCAGAGGCAGGCACTTAGGGAAAATCTGAGCAATGTAGGGTAGACGCCCTGCTTTCTTGGTGCTTATGGTCTCCTGAGAATGCAGATTTAATTCAATAATTGAGGTCTCAGAAAGAAATGGGGACACGTGAAAAGGAATTTGATATTGTCTGAGATGTGTGAGAAGGCTTCCTTGAAAATGTAATACTTACCCATAAGGAAGGACAAATGTATGGGAGTTAAGTTCAGGTGGCAAGCACCATCCCGTGTAGAGAACGGCTCTGCTACTGAGCTGGAAGCAGGAAGGTGCAAGGGAGACAGCTGAGAGGAGTGAGAGGAGGCCAAGAAAGCTGGAATCTGCAGCTGGACTTTGTGGACAACAAAACGTTTTTTCAATCACAAAAGCATTCATATCCTTTTTTTTTCAATCAGAGTTTATTGGTACATTTTAGATATACATGATGGTCACATTCATCAGAATCTGTACCTGTACATGACATGAACTGATTCATATTCTTTAATATTTCATCAATTTTTCCATGTGTCAGGTGCAAAAACAAAATACCTGCTCTCATGGAGTTTGCTTAGTAGTAGGAGACAGAACATAAGTAATTAAAATATGTCATGTCCCATAATGAAATATATGGGAAAAGCATTTAAGAGAAAGTGAAGGATAGGGTCGGTTCATGTGTTTAGATTTGTACTTAGAGATCCTTTCAACCAAACCCTGGAAACAGGCTGTGTGGATACATAGATAAAGACTGGGCTAGAAAGAGGTCAGGGACAGCTGTTTGGAAATTCCCAATCAACCAGGCAAAGGATCTTTGGGCCATGGTGGTGGCAGCAGTGACCCTGAGCAATGCACCTCATAGAAAAGGTGTCAGATGGCCAGGGCTTGGTGAGGGATTGGATGTGGGTGCTAATGCAAAGCCATTCACCTTTGGAATATTCAATAGGTTTCCAACCCTGAAAGAGAGTGAGGCTTGGGGGTGAGATTATGACTCACCTTTTGTTTCTGGCATGATGAGCTTGGGTCAGTCAGCTGGGGTGTTGAGGTGGAGATGGGCAGTGATCAGGAGCACGGGAAGGCTGCTGGCTGTTTTGGTGTCAGGTGGCAGTTGAAGCCAAGGCATTGAGTGGGAGAGACTAAGAGAAGGGTCCAGTACCAGTGTAGCACTTTGTCACCTAAGGGGAAGGAGTGGACTAGAAGTAGGAGGAAAGATAGGAAAATAGTGTCATTGCCAAGGCAAGAGAGATTTACAGAAAGGAGAACCTAGCACCATGACCAACACAATGAGATGAAGTGGTAACCGGTTCTTTGGATTTGTATTTATTGATTGGCTTAGTGGAGCTGGGAGAAAAGCAGTAGAGAAGCAAAGCCTCTGCCATCCCGATCTTCACATGCTAACAAGAATAAAGAAACATCCCCCGCACAGAGTAGAGGAAGGTGGTGGGCTGAGGTGGAGCGGGGAATCCATGCAGCTGCCTCTGATAGGCCAAGCTGGAGCAGTTCCTAGATGAACCGATGGAGAAAGCCATGCACAAAAGCAGGAAAAGCCCCAACGCAGGAGGCTCTACAGTGACGACCCTGGGGTACGATTGTGCTCAGAAAGTTTGACAGAGAGCCAGGAGGGCAGTGTGGCTGGGGGAGAGCAAAGGACTGGGGTGGGAGAGAGAAGACAGAGCAACCAGGGATGGCAGGGTCTGTGGTGCTTCCACTGTTCCTGGAGGAATGAAGGGACTTCGGTGCTCGGAGGATGGATTACTGCGGTGTTTTACAAAGGCAGGCTGGACATGAGGGGTGGGGAGTAGGGAGCAGATCAACCCACATGGCTTCTGAAGAAGATGAAGACAGAGGATGCGGAAGAGGAGGACGGGAGGGAAGGGTTTCTCCTTTTATCTCCCTGCATGGGGATTTGGGGCTTGAGTTCGTGTCCCAAGAGGGGATCCTGAAACAGGATCCCAGAGTCCTGGAGAAGACCTTCTAAGACACACTTGCTCGCCTGCCCTCTGCCTCAGTGCATATAACTTGACACGGAGCCGGGATCTCTCTCCCGTCTGTTCTGCTGGGTTTTAGGGGTTTCTTTGGACTCCACACTTCCCTACAGCCTTCCTCACGGCCGCTGTGACCTCCTTGTTCCTGAGGCTGTAGATGACAGGGTTGAGCATGGGCGTGAGAACAGTGTAAAAGACAGAAACCACATCATCCTGGCCTGGAGAGTGGTAGGAGGCAGGGATCATGTAGGTGTAGACGAGGGGCCCATAGAAGAGGCCAACAACTGCCAGGTGCGAGGAGCATGTGGCGAAGGCCTTCTGGCGGCCCTCCAGTGAGCGCATGCGGAGCACAGCTGCAAGGATGAGGACATAGGAGGCAGCGATGAAGGCTATAGGCACCAGGAGGACGATCACACCCGTCACGAAGAGCACCCGCTCATAGGTCTCCGTGTCAGCGCAGGCCAGTGCCAGCAGGGCAGGCACCTCGCAGAAGAAGTGGGAGATCTGCCGGGAGCCACAGTAGGGGAAGCGCAGGGTCTGCGAGGTCTGGATGGAGGCATTGAGGGAGCCCCCCAGCCAGGAGCCCAACACCATGCACAGGCAGACCCTGCGGCTCATGAGCACCGGGTAGCGCAGTGGGCTGCACACGGCCACATAGCGGTCATAGGCCATGAGGGCCAGCAGCAGGCACTCTGCTGCCCCCAGGAACATGAAGAAAAACATTTGCGCCCCACATCCTGCCCAGGAGATGCTGGTCCAGCCAAACAGGAAACCCACCATCATCTTGGGGACAGTGACCGAAGTGAAGAAAACGTCCAGAAAGGACAGCTGGCTGAGGAGGAAGTACATGGGCGTGTGCAGCCGGGCGCTGGCCCAGATCAAGAGGACCAAGGCCGTGTTGCCCACCACAGCAAGGACGTAGACCAGCACCACCAGGCTGAACAGGAACAGGTGTACCTGGCTGCGGCGGAAGAGGCTGGTCAGCACAAAGCCCACCATGGACTGGTTCCAGGGCCCTGTGCCCAGCTCATGCCGACTGTCCCTGTGGATGGAAAGTGAAGCAAGGGCTCAGAAGCACTCACCCAAAGACAGGAAGGGTGGGGCGAGGCAGCAGAAGGGCAGAAACCAGGGAGGCTGCAGGAGCGGCAGAAGCTCTGTGCTGTTTCTCACAAAGTAGCGTAGTGTTGATGTTACTTCACAATGAAAAACTATCACAAACACGTGACTTCCCCTTTGCCCCAGCTGTTCCCTTCTAGGTACCTTCCTGAAAGAGGGGAAGACAGCACATCACAGTGATCCATGCATGCTCATGCTGATAGCAGCACGGCTCCTGGCAGCTAAATGTTGGAGCAGACTGTAAGTCCATCAACAGAGAATGGATAAAGAAAGAATGGTGTTTACCCATAATGGCACACTACTCTGCCATAAAAAAGATAGATAAATCATTTGTAAGACAATGGATGCACTTAGAGATCATAATATTCACTTAAATCAAACATACAAGCGTAAAGATCCCATGGTTTCTCGTATATGAGAAACTCAAAGTATAAATAAATTAAAAAGCAAAATAAAAGATAGATAATAGGAAGTAAGGAGGTAAATCTTTTGCAAAAGGAAAGGTAACTAAGAGGTGGATCGGGGAGGGAGGAAGGAGAAAAGGGGATGAAAGTAGAATTAAGATGCGCGGTGCACACACACACCTGCTGCCCACAAGAAATGGAACCACGTACTGCAAATGTGTATGGATAAAAACTAAACTGAATTTTTAAAGAAGCACAACCTGTAGCCAAAGCAGTGCTCAGAGGAAACCAGCTCCAAATGTGTGCCCTGGAAAAGGGAAAGGCTAAAAACCAGTGATCTGAATGTTACCTCGGAAGGCTGGAACGTGAGGAGCACTCTGTTCCCTGTCTCATAGAGCGTGTGTGGTTAGTAACATCTTCAGTACCAAGTGAACAGGTGCACACAGGAAAGTGTTTTTTAAAACTTAACGCTTAACCTGAGGAACTGGTCCACAAATACGCGAATTATCTGGTTCCAACTTCTTATACATGTGAGGGTCCATGCGATGTGTTTCTCTGAGACACAAATGACAACCTGTAGCTGTGGCAGAGCAGGTGCTACCTGTCAGCTGGCAGAGCCACACGGTGCCACCAGTGCCTGGCTGCCTTGGTTTTCAGGAGCCCCGGATCTGCACTCCCGTGCTCTAGTGCAGAGACTGCTCTTATGTAGGTTCCTGTCTTGTGTTACTGCTCTCTTACTCTCTTTTCAATAACAGATAAGTGAGTCCTTTTTACTGAGAAAATCCCTTATACTCTTTTTTTCTTAAAGATTGCACCTCTCTGTAACACTATGAGGTATGATTAAAATATATGAGGAATGTTTCATCTTAAAAGATTTATCACAGAGCCAGGGATTTAGCTCAGCGGCATAAGCACCTGCCTGGCAAGCACAAGGTTGTGAGTTCAATTCCCGGTACCAAAAAAAAAAAAAAAAAAAAAAAGATTTATCACAGTAATGGAAACAGTGCCATTAATCTCCCTCAAAATACCCTCACTTTAAACATTCCAGTCCCACTGTCCTAGGCACCTCTGCAGCAGCTCTGGAGCCCTCTTTCTGAGTGTCCTTAGTTGCGCTGTTGTGACTGCCTCTGTATCCTGAACTGATTTTCAACATTTCCCTTCCGTGGTCATTTTGACTTTGGGGAGGAGCCGGAAGTTGCACAGGGCCAGTGTGTGCACCAGGCCCTCTGGTGAGTAAGATGGGCAAGGGCATGGTGTCGTGTTTTTACAAGCCTGTCTTTCCATTGCCTGGCACCTGGCAGCAGCACTCACAATACTTTTGATCATAACTTGTAAAGGCCCTCAGGAAAAAAGACTTCCAGAGCTGCTTAAGAAAGTGGCAAAACTGAGATGAACATGGTGGCACAGAGCTGTAATCCCAGCACTCAGGAGGCTGAGTCAGGGTGATTGCTGTGAGTCTGAGGCCAGCCTGGACTATATAGTGACTTCAAGTTCAGTCTGGACTACAGAGCAAGATCCTGTCTCAAAAACAGAAATATAAAAGTGGTGGCGAAACCAATAGGATAAGGGTTCCAAAGTGAGGAGGAGGGTTTTGAGGGAGGATTAATGATGCTGTATTTTTTATTCTCAACTTTTAATTTAAACACATCGTCTATTTTGATCACCCCTTGTGAATCTATGGACTCATGTTAAGGGTTAATAAACCAGTTTCAGCAGCTTCCCTTGGGAGGGGTCCGGAGCACTGAAGGCCTCCTTTCTGAAGTTACATTTATTCGGGAGAGGCCAAATCTCAAGGAATATTGAGATGGAAAAGAAGCCACCCAAAGGTATTTCAGGAGCTGTGGAGGAGGGGAAGGTCAGGGCAGTACTGGCCAGCAGACCCCTGCCCACCAGGCCAATCCCCCACCATTGTGGCTCATTGGCACTCAGTTCTCAGCATCCTGGATCGAGGCAGAGCCTTGGGTTCTAGCTTACATTTGTGGGCTTGGCCAATGACTTAACTGCAGTGACTGGGGGGATATAAGATGAACTTCTCAGAGCTGCGCTAAGGAGCCCAGGCTACCAGAGGATGCTGGGGCTGGAGAACACCCCGGGGTCATAGGAACAAAATGAGCAGGAGACACAGCACACCAGAGACGGGACAGACAGTAATCTGACTCCCAGGAGCCTTCCAGGATCACTAGCAGGGCCGTGGAGCTTAGGGGCGTACTTCCTGTCTCCCTACATCTCGCCTCTGCGATGGGCTGTGAGTGCTTTCTTTCCTCAGAACTCCCGGGCTGCTGGGATGGGTGTTCTGCGCTCATACCCACTGGTTACTCCCTGTGCACATCTCAAGGTCTCGTGGCTGGCTGGGGTGGGGAGCAGCAGGAAACCACTGCAGGACCCATCTCTTAGCTATCTGCCTGGCGGAGTCCCTCTTATTTAATCCCACGTTCTGCTGTTCTCAGGCTGGTCATGCACACAGATATCCCACGTCTAAATCAAACATTCAGAGCCTGATATCTCAGGGGCCGAGTCTCTGGAGCTAGGCATAAACCCAGCCAGACATCCCCGATAGTCTTTGAGTGAAGACACGACCTATGGCATCTATTTTCTGCGTTACAATGCTTTGACTCTTGGGTCTTGTCAGCCTGGTAAGGGACTGTGCTCCCAGGAGAGCTGGTTCCTAGAGACCATGAACAACTTGCCTGCTCGCACAGTGCTTCTGCTACACGAACTGCCTGACTTGGGCACCAGGCTTCCACAGACTCCCACAGTCAGGGACACTATGCTGCTATCCTGGACAGCCCCAGGACCAAGTCTGTGGGCAATTAGATACCATCCCACAGCCCGCACCATGCCGAAATTATTCTAACTGTGCGATCTAAGCCAGCCCAATGTGATTGTCCATTCCTTCCCTCAAGAACCCCAGCGAAGCTTTGCCTCCGCATTCTCTTCACCCCCCCCAATCTCCTCGGCAGCCCTGCTCCCTCCCCGTGTGGCCCTGCATGACACAGATAACCCTCCCTGCTTGGAACTGTGACCCACTGTTCAGTGGCAGGGGTCTCCTAGTGCTGGCCTTACCACACCCAAATAGAAGTGAAGTGACCAGTGCATTTTAGGATTTTTTGTAATCATGGTGCTCTGGGATGCTGAAGCAGGAGGCTCAAAGTTCGAGCCCAGTCTGGGCACCTTAGTGATTTAGTAAGATCTCATTTCAAAATCAAAAGAAAAACAAGTAAAATTTTAAAAAGGGTTGTAGCTATAGCTTATGGCAAAATCCCTGAGTTCAGGTCTCAGTACCAACAAATAAAGCAAATCCCTTTCCATAAGAAATTTTTACATTGTCACTGTTTTGGCATTTTTTAGATATGACTTGTTTTGTCTTGAGGTCTCAAGACAGTTGAACTATAACAGATGTGTCTGTAGAATGAACCTAATGCAGTGTCCCTGATTTCTTGGTAGGCAGCTCGAGCCTTGGTGGACAAACCCTTGACCTTCCAGGCTGTGTATGAAACCCTCATCCCTGATCTAGAGCAGGCTTCTTCAACTCTGCACTCTACATAGCTGGCGTTTGGACTGGGTAATTCTTTGCATCTGGGGCATCCTGTGGAACACTTAGCAGATCTGTTGCCTCTACCCTCCAGAGGCATCCAAGCTGCATCAACCCCAGGCATCTCCAGACATTGCCCATGGCCAGGAACCCCAGCAGCAGATGATACACCCCACCAGTTACTGCCCTCTTTCCCTCCCCTCCGCCAAGGCAAATAAAAGAGAATAAGACTTCACACACTTGAGATCTGTAGTATTTGGATCATAGTTTTTCTGAATATCCTTTGCTGTGACCCAGCGTGGTCTCTGGAGCCAGGCTGCTCAGGTTGCAGCCCCACCTCCACTGTTTCCCAGTCTTGTGACCTGGGCAGGCTTCTCGGCCTCTCAAAACTGTTAGGACTGTCGGGAGCACTGGGTGTTTTAGACTTGTGGAGTGGCTGGGAACAGTCACAGGAGGAATGAGCCAGTTAGTACCAGGTTGTGAACATCAGCATATGACCACCTTGGAAACCTTGGTGTGTCTACTAACCTCCCTGTAAAATAGGTCATCACATCCACTTCCGTGGGTCACTGTGAGTGTTGAGTAGGAGAAATGAGAAAGTTCTGTCTTCGCCATAGCACTTGTTTAATAAATATCAGGAGTGCTTTCCTAACTTCAGCAAACTCATGGTGTAGAATAATCAAACCCTCGATGCTTGTGGCCAGCTGGCTTCTCTCTCTGAGAGCTTTTTCCTCTATAGGCTTCGTCTCCTGCGATGTTGTGAGGGCTGGGTCTGCTGTGACTGGGGCTCCAGATCACCCATCTGGGACTATTTTACACCCGAAGGCCACCAAGCACCCAAGACGAGGGATTGTGCCTTGCTTTCTTTTGTGTTTCCCCACCAAATGTGGTCCATGGAGGCCTTCAGTTCACACCGGTGGGCTGTGGGAATGTGTGCAGTGGACAATAAAGGCTCACAAGACACTGTTGCCTCAATTTCCACTCTCCTTCACGGCCATCCAGTCCAGCCTTCTGCACGGGGTCTGAGCAGTGGCATCAGCCCCTAGGAAGGCTGCTCTGCTGCTCACTTTCTTACCGGAGTGGGGCTGTAGCACTGCTATACACATCTGTGTAGCAACATGTACAGTGCA